ACCACGCTTGTTAATAGTTCTCTTAGGTAGGTATTCAAAACACACACCGCTTTGGTCGGCGTTAAATATTTTGTCCACACCTAGTTCAATCTTGGTTTTTGCAACTTCCTCCCAATATGCCTTTGCATCAGCCTCCATGGCCTCCGGCTTCTTTAGGCCTTGTCGAGTTTTAGCGCGTAGACTTAGCTTATGACGACGGAGAAACCCTTGCTGCCATGTCCAACTAGCTTCGAATATACCATCCGGGACCTTTTCGTCTTCGGCTATGGTCTTGGCTTTAAGCTCCAGCATTAGCCTGGATACAGGGACGCCTTCCTCACGCAGTGACTTAATCCACTCGGTAATAGCTTCTTCACCTGCAGCAGAGATTGTAGTTGCAGTGCCTGCACCTCGAAGAACCTTCATACTGGCCTTGGTCGAGGATGTGCAGACAGATTCAATACGAGATCGATCTTTAATCCACTCGTAAATTCTTTTGCGTTTGTTTTCTTGCTTTTTTGCTGATTGATGGTCGTAAAACTTGTCTAACGTGGCGGGCATTCCGTTCGTGTCGTGAAAGGTGATCACCTCTAACCGCTTTGCGTACGAGTCGACCTCTCTCTGGTAGCTACTTGGCTGGCGTCCTCGCCCTCCGGGCGCACGCTTGCGGCCGCGCGTCATTGCGTTCTGCCTAATTATGGCTACACAACAAAGAGCTGCGAAATGTACATAGCCCAATCAAAAATAGGTTAAAAATAGTCCTGTCCGCTTGAAGAAATGATCAATGGTGTCATTGTAACAAGGTTTTTCTCTGTACATTTCGCGTTTGTGATTGGCTATTACGAGTGTCCGCTTGAACAAATTGTCCGGCTACACAAATGCTATACAGTAAGTACGCGCTAACCCGGCTATTCCATTTCCAGCAACACATACATGGAGCAGCGTAGCATCTAGCAATACATACATAACAAAATTTGAGAAATGAAGCGATTGTATTGGCTGATATAATTTGAACAGACGATCCGATTGGTCATTTCCTACTGTAATATTTCTTGTTAAAATGTCGTGTGTCCGAGCTTTGATATTTTACCTTACCAGAAAATACTGTACTATCTTTGATGAATAACCCGGTAATGAGTGGCGTGGTATTCGAAGGTATGCTTTAGGCAACTGTAAAATTTAAGTGTCGACAGCTTCCTAACTTTTCTTTCTTACGGTTGAAGTGGAAGGCACTCGAATATTCGGGCACAAGAACCTTTGCATGCGAGCTCAGTGCTTCCGTGCTATGTTTATGGGCGATGTATGCTGTACTTCAACGTATTGTCTGTATTTTTGAGGATGGAAGTTTTAATGTGTATCTGACTTTCGGCAGATGCGGGAACGCCACTCATAGGAGATCATTATTGCAGGCGTGAGCCGAAAAATGTTTCTGTTGATGCTGGAGTACGTTTATTGCGATCGCTTTTGTGTATAGGATGATGATGCGATGGGATTTTTCGTGGCTGCTGATCAGGTACGTACATCTCTTCATCAATTTAAAAACATAAAGTTGCCATTAACTTTTTCTTACGGTGATAATGATCGCAGTTCGGTATCGAAAGCCTCAAGCACCTCTGTGAGAGTAAAGTTTGCCAATCATTGACCATCGAATCGGTAGCAAGGGTGCTCGAGATTTCTGATCGTTATCACGCGACAAAGCTCAAAAGTTAATGCGAAGCAATTATCACCGCCAATTTTGATGCCGTATCAAAAACGCAAGAGTTTCAAGAGCTTTTCCAAACGGATGGCCAATTAGCATTGGATGTAATGAAGCTCCAACTGATGCCGTGATTGATCGTGCGGACTACTTTGTGATCAAACGTGCACAACTCAAGATCAATCGTTGATGCATTTTTCATTTCAAGAATTAAGATTCCCTCTTCATTCATTTCAAAAAATGTACCTTGGAATACAGCGAAATTCATCGGGCAGGGTGTGGATTCCTCGAGCTCATGGGTTCACACCGTGCTTGTGAGCGTGATGGCTCTTACTCGTTGGACTCGATTTGTCACCCTTGAGCTTTTCCTTCACCTCGTGCACCGCCTCCTTCGCACGCTCCACGAAGCCCGGCGACGCCGACAGTGACTTCTCTGCGATCGTGATTTGGTGGCTTAAAGCGCTGAGGTTAAAGTTCTCACGCAGAGTCGACTTGACCAGCGCTTCAACCGTGTCAGATCCACTCAAAACACCGCCATGGCGTTCGTCGTGGTGGTGGTTGGTCTTGCCTCCGAGCAGACCAAGGCCGTGCTTGTTGTCCTTGTCATCCTTGTGCTTATCGCTCTTACCGAATAGACCGGTGCGTTTCTCTTCCTTGTGCTTATCATCCTTGCCAAAGAGACCGGTTTGCTTCTCTTCCTTGTGCTTATCATCCTTGCCAAAGAGACCGGTGTGTTTGTCTTCCGTATCCTTGTCACTCTTGCCGAAGAGACCAGTACCCTTGGATTCTTTCTCCGTATCTTTGCTCTTATCAAAGAGGCCTCCCTCTCTCTCGTGACGTTCCTTGTCGTTGTTGCCGATCACGTTGTCGACCGCACCCTTGACACCCTTGGACCGACCCTTCTCCTGGTCATAGTTGCGTGCAGTCGTGTTCAGGAGGTCCATGGCTTTGGCTGTTGCACCCATCACGTTTCGGGCCGAGCGGATCTCCGACTCAGATGGCTGTGAGCTCTTGTTAATCTCATGAGCAACACGCTTGAGGTCACCAGCCGTGTCCTTGGCGGTGCGCATGTCGCTCCGCATGTACGACTTGGCGGTGTTGATAATGTGGTTGCCATGGCGACTGTCGTAGTCGGAGAGGTTTTTCTTGAGCAGCCTGAGGCATTGGGTAGCTTCGTCAGCAGTTTGGACGAGCAACTTCTCGAGAGCAGCGAACTCCTGTTCAGCGGTAGCGTTGCGGTCGGACTTGCCCATGTTTGAGTTTTGCTTGCGTGGTTGTTGTTGTAGGTTGACTTGTGACTTAGAGATCACTTTTGGAAATGAGGAAGATGTCGAGCCTCGAGCCTCGAACGGTGTTGCGGTGGCTACATTTGGTGGCTGCCGATATACTTCGACTAGCTTGAGACAACATGGTTCTCCTAGATGAATCTTGTCGCAAGTGTATGCGAGTAAGTGTATCTGTGGGTAAGCTCAACAACTCGTAATTCAGTTTTGACGAATCTTACTTTGATTTATGGTGTTTGAAAAAAAAAAAAAAAAAACTCCGGACATGTCTTTCAGCAAGCAATGTCGCATTTGGCAAAAATGTATATATAAACAGTAATTTTAATAACTACGAAGTTTTAAAGTCTAGTGTACGCTTCTCAGGTGCATCGAGTTCAGATGCTTACACTCCGAGTGGCAGGGGTTCCCTTAAGCTTGATCACTACGTCCTCCATCACATCTTTTGCGCGCTCTACTAGCGACGGCGACAGTGATTTCTCGGCAACTGAAATCTGACGTTTCAAGGCATGGAATCCACTGAAAGTTGTCCGAAACGTCAGCTTCACCACTGCGTCCACGGTATCGATAGTGTCTACTGCGTCGTCGTCCTGGTTCCCTTTTTTCTTGACGCGTGTCCCGATGAGCACGTTGTCTATGATGCGGATAATGCCTTTGGGCTTCCCGTTCATCTCGTCGTAGACACGTGCCTGCCTCTTCAGTTCTTTCATGGCATCAGAGGCAGCGTTCATCTTGTTACGAGCTGCGGCAATTTCCCAATCGGATAGAAATTTGCTTTTGGCAATCTGGTCCGCCACAAGTCGCAGCTCTGAAGCCGCATCTTTCGCTGTACGAATGTTGCCCCTCAGGAACGACTTAGACGTGTTGGCAAAGTGCAGCCCATGGCGCCTGTCGTAGACGCCGAGGTTGGTTTTCAAGGCCTTAACACATTTAATTGCATCATCTGCCGTCTGGATCAGCAGTAGCTCAAGTTTGAAGAATTCCGCAGCGACGCTGGTGTCGGACTTGCCCATGGTATGAGTAGCACTTGTACGCTCAGATTTGTATTGTGTTTATTGCCCTGACGATTACGTTGTGAAGTGGTAAGCCTTGTTACGTCGAACGGGTTTCCACGAATTGATGGCTGTATGCGACAACTGTACCGTTATTTTTTTTGCTAAAGTTGATGATGATAAATGGCCATCCATTTGATTTTCATGAGTGTGTATGTGTGTGCGTTTTAAGCCTACTTTACTTAGCAATCGCGGGTGGGTCTGCAGTGAATAGTGGTGTATAAACTCATGAATAGAGAACCTCGGTTGTCCGGAGAGGAGGTCATATTTGCTTGAAATCTTGGTTCTCGCTAAAAGCCTAACTTTTTTTTTTGCAGAAATAAGTGGAGTGTCGCTTCCGCTGTTATCCATATTATTTTCGATTTCCGGCAAATGAAGGATTGCAAATTTTTCTGATGGGCGATGTCTCAAACTCTGACGATGGGAGACGTCCGCCAACAAGAGTACCGCTAATCGATGCTCAAGATCACATCATCCGACGATAGCACATCTTGGTCATTTCCAAACGTGATCTCAAGCTCACAAGTCAACCAATAACAACAACTGCAACAAGCTAAAGCATGGGCAAGTCCGACATCAACGTTACTGCTGAACAAGAGCAGGAGTTCGCCTCTCTCGAGCAGGTGCTCAACCAAACTGCCGACGACGCCGCCAGATGCCTCAAGCTGCTTAAGAAGAATCTCTCTGAGTACGACAGTCGTCATGGCAACCACTTCATCAACACTGCCACCTCATACATGCGGAGCGACATGCGTACCGCCAAGGACACGGCAGACGACCTGAAGCGAGTTTCACACGAGATCAACAAGTGCCCACAGCCATCCGAGGCAGAGATCCGTTCTGCTCGCAATGCCATGGGTGCGACGGCTAAGGCCATGGAGGTCTTGAATACGACAGCACGCAATTACGATCAGAAGAACGGTCGGTCGAAGGGTATTAAGGGTGCGGTAGACAACGCGCTCGGTTTCAACGAGAAGGAGCAGCACGAGAAGGAGGGAGGTTTCTTCGGCAAGAGCGACCAGGAAAAGGATAACAAGAGCACCGGGCTCTTTGGAAGCGACAAGGACGACAAATCTACGGGTCTGTTCGGAAGCGGGGACAAGCTTAAGGACCCTAACACCGACTTCTTCAAACAGAGTGGTCAGGACCATGGCAATGAAAATAACGATGTTATCCTCGTCGACAAGTCCGACCGCCACCACCCCGATGAAAACCGCGGTGGCATTTTCAGTGGATCTGACACGGTCGAGGCGCTGGTCAAGTCAACTCTGAACGAAAACTTCAACCTCAGCGCTTTGAGCCACCAGATCACGGCCGCAGAGACGTCGTTGTCGCCGTTATCGCCGTCGTCGTTGTCATCGCCGTCAACAGCGTTGCCAAGCCTAGTGGAGCGCGCAAAGGAGATGGTTATTGACGTCAAGGACAAGCTGACGGGCAGCAAATCGAGTCCGACGAGCGAGGACCACCACGAGCGCGCACACACAGTGACGCCATAAGGAGCAAAACGGTAGTGAAGTGTAGGAGACGGATACTTAGCATTGCATTTGCATATCTAGGAAGCGAGGCATTAACATGACCAATTTGAAGTGATTTGAAGATGTCAAGTTGACGTGTTCCTATCTTACATCATTTTAACACAAACTGATGTGTTCTACATCACATCTGAGAAAATAACTCTCAGACACAACTGCTAAACCTGATTCCAGCGGCGATGGCGCGCTTCACGTCGGCGTGGCGCCGCAGCAACGCGCTCTACATCGCTCCAACTAGTTCCAGCTACCTTTCCGCCTTCTTTGTCATCGCTCTCGCCGCTCTTTCGATCTCTACCTCTGCAGGTATCCCTCCAATCCAAGACCCGCTCCACCTTCAGCTCGACTCCACCCAGGACACTTTATGGACGATTTCTACCGACCAAATTGCTCTAGATAGCGCGCAATTCAAAGCTCAAGTGCTCGATAGTGTTCCTGACTTGGTTCCCGCCGACGTGAAATGCGAGAAGATCAAACACTGCGACAAAAAGGGTGTGTGCGCCATTGTCTGCAAGCACGGCAGTGTCCAGGTGGACCAGTGGCTTCAAAAGGCGCTAAAACTGCAACGTAAACTCGCATATCGTCGCAATTTTTGCTCTGCAACTCTGCCCGGTACACACAATTCGGCCATTAATTTGGCTGATGGCTACGGAGTGGAGGATCATGTATTCGAAGGTTATCTACGCTACTTTTCTTGGTTCAAGAAAGGCATGAAGGTGCACACAAACGACCAATTATTCTCTCTTACAGACCAATTGCACATGGGCGTAAGGTTCATTGAGCTGGATGTGCATTGGTTCGATGGGGACTTACACATCGCTCATTGTGGAGGGTTCAAGTCCAAGTTACTGGACGGGATGATCGAAGTTTTCAATGAGATCGCGAAATTGATGGGTACCGGTATTGAGTGGGATTCCGAGACCATTGGGTGCAAGCCCAGTCTGAGTAGTATCCCGTCGAATGAGCAGAGACCGCTGAAGGAGGCGTTACGTGAGTTGTCTACTTGGCTTCATGCCCCCGAGCATAAGGACGAGTTCTTGATGGTGTTCTTCGATGACGAGACGAACCTGATGAGGTGGAAAAAAGTCGGTAAACTTCTGGACTATTTGAAGGAATATTTCCCGGAAGAGGAGATTCTACAACCGATCGAGCTGGCGGTGAGTGTTTTTATTGTATAGGTGGCTATAAAAGAGTCCTAATTATTGTGTGTGAGAGCAATAGTACGGCACAAAATGGCCTACGATTGAAGAACTGCTTCGTGTTGGGAAGCGTATAGTGTTCATGAGCGGCGTCGACTATTTTACATACGGAGAGGAACTCCTGTTCGTGAAGGACACTGTTTGCAACTGGCAAGAACCGCCGCTGCCTCTTGCTCCATTTCCAGCTTGTCGATTCAACGAATCCAAGACAAATATCGGGATTCCGGATGAAAACTTCATCATTTTTCGTCCAGAAACCAGCGAGATTGAGTATGGTTTCCTCAACGCAGACGGCCAGTTAGGCGTCAACAGGAACTTGTTGAATGAAGAATCACTCCCAGGCGTGGCACAATGTGGAGTGAACCTGCCATCACCGGACAATATTACTCCCAAACGCATGGAGGCTACCATTTGGGCTGTGCCTAAGGGACACGAGTTGAATCCGAAACAGTGTGTGGCGCTCATGCGTGAGTCCAAGACTTGGCAGAGCGTTGACTGTGACACTGATAACTTGGTGCCAGCATGTGTTGATGTGGAGAACCCGCGTCATTGGCAGCTTGGAAGCGTATCGGTCGTCGAAGCCGACGCTGCCGTCGCCTGCGCATCTCTTTCCTCATCAACAGTAGAATATTCGGTCCCGGCATCAGGATATGAGAATGGACTCTTACACGACCAGCTGATGCAGCACGCGCCCAGTTCTGTTGCTGGTGTGTGGTTGAACGCAAAAGTACTCGTCTCTGAGGTCTACTCGACGAAGCAGAATGAGGTTGTCGCCCCAGTTGTCCACGAGACCAGAGTATCTCCTATCGACGAAATTGTATCTGTGGAGTAAAACTCTCGAAGCTGTGAGAATTGGTGGTGAAGAAGACCCTCGTGCGTTTGAAGCAATGGAAACTTATTCGTAAGCAACACCAACATCTAATTGTTATAACAGTAGGACGGTTTATTGCTTCCAGAAGCTTATGATATCGCATGAAAAGTATTCACGTTGGTTCTGTGAGCTATAGCTAGCAACTCATCTTAGTGGTTTGTCCTAAATGAGCAAACTTTTACGCCTCGGGTGACGCAGTTGCCTTGTAGGTCGTGTTGGGCATCGGAAAGAGCTCGAGAGCTGTGCCGTTCATCGGTGGCTTCACATTGTCCGCATCCTTCACCTTGTCGTTTTCAGCTCGGTGCGCCTTATTGACAATCATCGGCTCATACAGTTTGTGGTGGCCTTTGTCGTCCATCGACTTCGGGTATTTCTTGCTATCTTCTGTCAGCTTCGGATACTTCTCTTCGGTGGGTTTGGGAGTCGTGTACTTTGCGTCAGTTTGCCTCGGTGTTGAATAGTACTTTTCATGGGTCGGCTTTGGCGTTGGGTGGTACGTAGTTGGCATCGGAGTCGAATGGTGATTGCCGTCTTCGTGATTCTTGTCCATGTCAACCTTGCATGCATCTTTGAAGGTGGTGGCCAACTTGTACGCGTTCAGTTTCACGCCCACAAACGACAAGTAGCAATCTGCGGGCTTCAGTGCGAGGGCGTCTTCGATCAGAGCGCGACATTCGTCGGAAGCGCACATGGCTTTGACTTGCTGGTCTGTAGGGTAGCCCTTTGGCGGAGCAATCGAGAAGCCGGCAGAGACTTTCTGGCACGGATTCAAATGCGGGTTAGCATAAAGCTCGGCGAACTTCACGACCTCAGTCGGGGGACATTCGTCTTCGGCGGCAGCTCCGAAAGCCGAAAGCAGGAAGAAGAAGAATGAACCGAATTGCATCGTTGCTTGAGTGATCAACGCGGGTAAAATACAGCTAAGCTTGTAAGCGCGTTAGGGCGTGTCTGGAAGTTGCCGAATAGGAAGTAAATTGGAGAATGAGGAAGCTAGCAGAACTAGCCTTCATTGAGAAAGGCCGCCTGAAATCTCAAGCTAGAAGGTGAAGAACAATCAATTTCCAGAAAGACTGCAGGAGCTATTGGACTGCTAATGAGCCTAAGGCCACAGCACCGAAAGGGGTGGTGACAAATGACCACGGGTTGCATGTGGATACAGCAGAGACTCAAACTCCAGTGAAATATGAAAGATGGTGCTGTATTTTCGCCTGTGGTACATGGGTGATTGCGAAGTGGAACACTTTGGGAAGGCGAGCAGGACCACAAGAACATGCCTAAAGCCATGCTCTCACCATTCAACAGTCACAATTTCTAGGTATTTAACATTCCTTGCTCTCACACTGAATCGCCCTCATAGCTGTTGACGAACTATTGCACGAACTATGAGCACTCCCCCTCGACCACCCTACGATCCTGAGTTGAAGACAGTGATTGATCAAGCGTTTGCCGACGGTATGCCGTTCTATTATGGCATCGACGATCTCCCTACCTTACGTGAAGGGGCCTCAATTGGCGCCTCAGCTGAACCGACCCTCGCTCTGTCTCCAGGTAGCACCCATAAGGAGCGCACCATTGCAGGGCCTAATGGAGATATCCAGGTTTCAATTCTTCGCCCTTCGAGTTTTGATGCGACCAAGCAACACCCTGCCATTCTCTTCTATCATCCAGGCGGTATGATCATGGGCAACCGCTTTACTGGCTTGACAGCCCTTGCACCATATCTCGATTTGTGCAATGCCATCGTCATCTCGCCTGAATATCGTCTTGCACCTGAGCACCCGGCACCCATCCCATTTGAGGACGCCTACGCAGTACTCAAGTGGGCTGGTGACAAGTTTGCAGAGCTTTGCATTAATCCAGATCGCCTTCTGGTCGCTGGAACCTCTGGAGGTGGCGCAATCTGTGCTGGTGTGATGCTTTTGGCTCGGGAGCGTGGAGGTCCCAAGGTATGCGGTCAGCTTCTCGTCGCCCCCATGCTGGATGATCGCTGCGATAGTGTAAGTGCTCACCAATTCGAGGCTGAAGGAGGGCACTGGAGCAGTCGAAGCAACCGCTTTGCATGGCGCTGCGTGCTTGGTACACGATGGGGAACGCCCGACGTGAAGGACTTTGAAGTCCCGGGACTCGTGACAGATCTATCAGGGCTTCCGCCCACGTATCTGGAGGTGGGGTCGGCAGAAGTGTGTCGAGATGAAGTCGTTGCGTTCGCGAGTACATTGTGGGAAAGCGGCGTGCAGGCAGAACTTCATGTTTGGCCAGGGGGGTGGCACAATTTCGCTGCACACGTGCCCGATGCTGATGTATCCAAGAAGGCTCTCCATACAAGACATCAATGGGTCGAGAAGCACCTGAAGGAAGTTTGATAAATACGTCGTAGTAGGGGCAAAAGGCATCACATTTCATTGTCAGTAAGCCACATTCAAAGCATAACAATGATTCACTGGCTTGCATGTGCAATAAGTTGCCAAATGTTCACAACCCTGAATGAACTCTCGAACGTTGTGGCAAGTTTCCGACCACACAACTTCTCGAGCAGCCACCAAATCCATTTCTTTTATTATAATTGGTACTAGTAGTAGCACAGTGTTACTTGGCAAGTTCGAATGCAGCGGAGAAGTCTTCAACACCTCCATCGCCTTATGGATAGTGTTAGCTGCTTGACGAGCCTTGGAAACACTGAATTGCCATCTAATATTATAGAATCTACCTGCTTGCATCTCCATCGTGTTGCCATTGCCTCCACATCTGCGCAGTGCTGAATGTTTCTGACAAAGAATCGTTACATATTGCGTTGAACCGATCGTATTGGTAAGTGCATCGTGATAGCCCACTCGAGCAGTAGTTACAGAAACATCACCAACAAAAGAACACATCCTGAACGCCACAACGGCCACAGCGAACGCCACGAGAGTTCGAGAACACGGTGACGACCACACACGCCGCCCCAGCACCTGGTATTGATGGTCGATCACAGGAAATGCCCACAACGCCACGTCGGAAGTTAATCAAGGCTCGTACAGGACGACCTCAGTTTTCTCGAATTTCGTCTGTTTACCATCTCGTTTCCTATTCGCCAAAATACCAAAAATCTTTTTCAATTGGCTCAGATCTGAGCCTACACCACGTCAGCAGTTTACGCCGACATAGTCGCCACTCAACAACTTCCACCCGGCGGCACCGACGGACTCGAGTAGCTTTACCTGCTGCTTCCAGCTATACCGCGACAGCTATCTCCATCGTATAGTCAACCGTCTAGCGCTTCACCTGTTCTACCCAGCACTGTGGAATACCGATCCTTTTCGACGCATTTTAAGACTGAATTATGACCAGCAACGACGGTATGAGGTCTACCTTGCTACGCTTCGATCTCTTCTTCGCCGGCGCCGATGTAGCCATGCAGAAGCGGCTGCAGAAGGCGCTAGACGTGGTGCGCAGTGCCATTGACATTTTCGGCTTAGAGGGCGTCTGCTTCAGCTTCAACGGGGGAAAAGACTCGACCGTCGTGCTGCATCTGCTCCGCATTGTGGTCGCCAAGCGCGTGTTAGAGGAAGCGCAGCTGGCGCACTTAAAGGCCGAGCAGGAGGCACTAGACGGCCCCAAGACGACTGTTACATCGCCGCGGAACAGTTTTGTCTCGGCTGACATACTGCAGGAAGAGGAGCTGGAAGCTCGTGTCAAGGCGCAATTGCAGCGCGTTCCGGTCATGTATTTCGACTCGTACGACCAATTCCCGGAGGTGCGGGAGTTCACAGAGGAGTGTACCAAGAAGTTTGCGCTCAGTTGTCACGTATACAAGTGCTCGTTCGTGGAGGGCGTCAAGGACATCTTGGACAAGCTCAAGATCAAAGGCATCTACATGGGTGTGCGTGGTGGAGACCCGTATACAGAAGACATGGAGCACTTTTCGCCGAGCAGCCCTGGCTGGCCTCCTTTCCTGCGTGTGAACCCCATCTTGAAGTGGACGTATGACGATGTGTGGAGCTTCCTGCGGGACTGCCAGTTGGAGTATTGCTCGCTGTACGACCACGGGTACACGTCGCTAGGAAACATTTTCGATACGGTGCAGAACCCAGAGCTCTGGAGGAAGGGCGAGGACGGTAAAGAGGGATACTACCTGCCAGCATACGAGCTCAAGGATGGCAGCTCTGAACGCTGCGGACGGCAGAAGAAGGCGCACACGACATCAAAATCTGATTAAGAGATGACGAGAGACTTGTAGTGACTCCAAATCAATAGAAACAGAAGAGAAAACTAGCTGCACATGTTCACATGCTTCTTGATTAATGAAAGCGTCGGGATCGAGATGGCGAGCGTGAGCGATTTCTAGAAGCTGGGGATGGAGAGGATGACCGGTGACGATGACGACGGTATCGGGTGGCAGGAGAGCGCGACCGACCACGAGAGTCCTTGGCCGAGCTCCCACGCCTGTGACGATCAGCTGGTGAGCGTGAACGAGATCGGGATCGTCCGCTGCGGTGTCGATGCGAATGATCAGCGGCATCTCGGTCTCTTCTCGGCGAACGCGAGCGAGATCGTGAGCGCGAATGACGCCCTGCATCCTCTCGGTGGTGGCGACGGTGACGCTGCTTGCCATCTTCCTCGTCCGAATCACGAGTGTGGCGTTTCGCTTTCTTCTCCTTCTTGCGCTCTTTCTTTTCTCTCTTCTTCAGTTTCTTCGCTGCTTTTTCAGCTTTGCGCGCTTCCTTCCGCACCGCCTTCGCCTCACTCTCCGTCATCTCCTTGTTGATTGTTCCTGGGAGCGCATACGTCGTATCTGCTTTGCCACTGACGAGTTGGTCTTTATATCTCTCAGCCAGCGTACGCTTAGGTCCTGTTTCGAAGCCCTCGGCTTCCACTGGCGCTGCTCCGAGTCCTTCAACACGCTCCACATCCATGCCATCTCGCTCCGCTTCTCCTCGCTTCAATAGCTCCTTCATCTCCGACGCACTCAAACCTTCGGCAGGTTCACGGCGTTTCCTCGGCGCAATCCCTCTACCAATCACAACACCAAGTACTTTGTAAGCTTCAATTGTAAAAATGACACTCTATCCTTCCCACAACGTACAGAGCTTCGTTCATGAGATCTTCATCCCGTTGCTTGGCTAGCGCCAACTCCGCCTGCAACGCCTCGGCACGCTGTGACTTGTTGGCTTTGGCGTACCATGTGAGGTCCTTGCCCTTCTGCCACCGACCCACGGGCGCTTGCACCGAGTGGCCCAGGTAGTTCTCCCGATACTTGTCGTTCTTGACGTCCTCCCATTTGAATTCTAGCGCAACGACAAGGAAAAAAAATCGACGAACACTTAGTACACTCCAATGTCATCTCAATTACCATATTTCAAAGCTCGTTAGCGACGTACGATCGGCGCCGCCACGCGTGCCGCCAACGCGATAGTTGGTCTTCCCAAAGCTCATAGTCCCCAAAATGAAAATTATGTCATGAACACAAAATGTATGTACATTCTGTGTCATACCACATTATGCCATTGACCATTTGGTGTCATCAGCCACGGTATCTTACATCGACCTCTTCCGCAACAATTTCAATTCCATAAAAACTCAGCAACCACGAGCTCGAACAGGGAGGAACGGACCGCCTTGCTTGGGCCTCGCGTGGCCATGTCCGACAGCAATGGAGGCAACGGTGGCGGCATCTTCGCTGGTGGCAATAGCAGCGGCGTTACAGGCGGAGGACCGGACCCCAACAGCCTCAATAACTACAGCACCTTCTTCTCTTCGGATCCCGTGAGTCAATAGTCTGTTGATCTCTTACATGCTAATAGCTGCGAGACTGATTGTATATTGATGAGTGCAGAGCGTGCGGTCACTAATGCGCACATCGGACAACATCGAGCGCACGCGTCGTACCGTGACCGAGTCTGAGGAGTTGGCCAAGAATGTGCTCGTGGACCTGGAGTTGCAGCGCTCGCAGCTACACGACACGAAAGATATGGTCTCCGAGACCTCGAGCATGACCGGCCAGGTGCGTCATCTGCTGCAGATCATCGCCGACCGCTCGTATCGCAAGAAAATCTGTCTCTACATGGTCATCGCAGCTCTGTCAATCACCGATATCCTGGTGTTTTATCTATTGTTTGTGCGCTGAAAAATATCAGGAAAATATAGCAACAACAGCAAAAAAAAGCGGCTTCGTGACTGTGGGGTTTCTCGGTTTATTATGACTCGGCGAGTAAAGAGTGGATGGACTAGTGGGGGAAATAAACTACTTACGCGTCCGCCCACCTATTTACTGCTCGGGCATGCCGCCACCGCCCATCTGCTTGCCAGCACGCATAACCTCATCAACCAGCAGCAGCTGCGACGCCAGTGTCGTAGCGAGGTGGATAAACTGACGCTTGACCCGGTAGTTGTCCCAAATTCCCTCCTGCTCCGGTAGCATAGGTTCGCCCGAGAAGAGGTCGATACCCACGGGCATACCCGAGTTCTGGTGCTCCTCCTGCACAGCGATCAGAGTGTCCTGCACGTCAAGTCCAGAGTTCTCCGCCAGCACCTTAGGGATCACCAACAGAGCGTCCGCGAACGCTTGCACTCCGAGCTTGGCACGGCCCTTCACTGTACCCTTGAACTTGTTGAGAGCCTCATGAGCAGCCAACTCGAAGGCAGCAGCACCGGGAACGACACCCTTGTCCTCGACAGCGTTGTTGACAGCACGGACACCGTCGCGAATAGCGTCCTTGATCTGCGCGATCGTGTGCTCGTTCGGGCCCTTGATCAGGATAGTGCACGACTTGGGGTGCTGAACGTCCTCCACGAACGTGTAGCGCTCCTCACCGAGAGTCTGTTCGTACACCTTACCGGCGTAACCCAGCATAGACTCGTCCATATCGTCGGTCGAGTTGATGGGCATACCGCCACAAGCCAGCGTTATCCGCTCCATGTTACGGCGCTTAGCACGACGCAGAGCGAGAATACCCTCCTTGGCCAGCATGTCCAGCGACAGAGGGTCAATGCCCTTCTGGTTAATGATCACGAAACTCTTCTTGTTCTCCTCCGTGCACACCTCGCGCTTCAACTCGATGATCTGACGCACCTTGTCGTCCGTGAATTTGCGTTCAGCCTCCACCATCTTCTCGCGTTGGTCGGCGCTGTTGTAGAAGAAACCAGAGTTCACTTCACTCTTCTCGTACTCCAGCGACACGTTGCACGTCATGATGTAGCAGTTCTCAAGCGATGTAGGCATGTCCGGGTGGCGAGAGCCGTGGTCCAGTACCAGACCCTTGACAAGACGAGTGTCACTGCTGCTCTGGTGCATCATCTGTACAAATCCAATCAAACACAAAAGTGTCAGCATCTCTAATAAAATATCCACGCTGTGACGGGTCCAGCAATGCCACGTACGTGCATGATCTCGATCATGTGCAGATCGATGGGGCGCTCAGGCACAGCGATGGTCAGTACGGCGTCCGTGATGATCTCTGTGAGTTGATCAGCGAGTTTCTGGTCCAACTTTGTACGCAGCGAAGTGCGTGCGACGCTGCAGAGAAGCTCACGGTCTTTAAGAATGTCTTCAGGCGTGATCTTCATGCCGTCCAACACACGCAGAACCTCGTCCTTGGCGAGCTCGAAACCCTCCGACAGAATACGCGGGTGCAGACCGTCAGCCAGGAAGCGCTCCGCCTGCTTGAGCAGCTCGCCGATGAACAGCACGGTGGAAGTGGTACCGTCGCCCGTCACGTCGTCCTGGGCCGTGGCGGCACGAGCAATTAGTGCTGCCGTCGGGTGCTGGATCTGCATCTCGTGAAGTAGCACGTTGCCGTCCTTGGTGAGTTTAATCTGTCCAGCGCCACCCACCAGCATCTTGAGTGTGCCGCGCGGTCCTGCATAAAGGTACAATCATTGTTAGATCTTTGTAGTTTGTTGATTGTGATGGAAGCTGGAGGACGCACCGAGGTTGGACTTGAGCACACCCTGAAGACCCTTGGACGCGCTCACATTGACCATGAGCGCCTGCGACTTGCTCACGATCTCGGCGTTGGGGTTCATACCGCGGTAGCTCATGTCTGTTGGGATGTGTCTAAAGCTTCGCTGTGTGTCTGGAGCTCGGCGAGGGGTGGATTGCGAATGGCGCTGCAGCTACAGAGAGTACCAACATTTCAGTACAATTATGTGGCCTACACGGCAAACAGTTTAAGAGCAAGCTATTTTCAAAGCATTTTTTTAAAAAATAAAACGAATCTTAAATAAAATGATTAAAATCATTTTTTAATAAATAAATTATTTTAGTAATGAATATGAATTTATATAATGCTGAAAATTATTGTGATTAAACAGAGAATAATTCTGCAAAGAATCAAAATGGACTTGAAGTGCTGAAGAATTATTTTAGTGCTACTAATTCTTCTTTAACCTTGTCTTCAAAAAAGTTAAAATAGGATTTACAGTACTAACAGAAAGCTCTAAGCAGGCATCCGATTAACTTATCAAACAAGAAATGTTCATGGCCATATTAAAAGTGCCCAATACGATTTTCCTATTGCTCGATAAAGAATTTGAGGTGACGCAGGCCGCGTCGCCGAGTCACTCGTTGACTGTCCGCCACTTCGTAGCGTAGGTGCCATTAGGTGCAGTAGTGCAGAAGGGCAGTAGTGTAGAGTGACTTTGCAGGAAGATCGTAAAAACACGTAAGTGCCGGGCCAAATGCCGCGACAGGACTGCAGAAGTCTGGTGCGGGTGGCTCTCTCGCTCTTGCAGTGCTCGCGGAGCTGCAGAAGCCGAAGTGATTGAGAGAGAGCACGCCAAGCCCCAGACTCCGCCGTACCGCTAGGTATATTCGCGCAATACCATGAACCTATACTAAAACTAAGTTACCCCATACATCGCCTTCAATAGTGCAGCAGCACCATCACGGCTGCTCTCAGCCAGCAATGTCCTTCAGCATACATTCGCCAAGTACTTGCCATCGTACTGCCCCGTACAGGCACGCGGTGAACTGTAAAGCCGGTAAGCCGCGTGGCTTCACCAACGCGAGCGATGATCGTTGGTAGGATGGGCATCGTAGGTTCATCACGGGCGCTGCCCGTATCTTGGACACTGGCACTGGCATGGGTCCGTAGGCACTTGTAGTCCGCACACACCTTACTGTAGTACACCATCTCATACTCCCACTTGATCACGGCATTCGAGCTCCAATTTTGAGGTGTAGATATCACACGCACTCCAAAGACAGGAGGCCAGACACGCTCCACACAGCCAGAGGCTCCACCACCGAGCCCACAGTAGTCGCGTAATCCAATATATTCAGCAAGCAGCAGTCCACAAGTCCATCGTTCACCACACGTCCTGCCTCGTCCGTCGACATTCGCTGTTGAAGTCGGTTTGTGGCATACATGTCGTGGCGCGGCCATGCGAGCGTAGCGCTGCTAGCTCGGCCCACGCAAGAGCACATGTCGATTACCACTGCTAGTGTTCTTGTTCATCAGTTTGAGGCTGCTGCCTCGTTCGTCGTATCGTCCTAAGTCTGAGAGGCAAGTGCCTCGTCCGTAGTTCCTGAGGCGGTCACCTCGTCCATCTTATCGTCCGTAGTTTTTAGAGGCATGGGCCTCGTCGTCCTCGCTAACTATTGACAACACCTTCACCATTTTGCGGGCCTCAAAGCCATGACAAGGTACTGGAGGGCACCGACCAGCTCTCGGTACGGTAGGTATTCACTAGTCGCAGGTACGTCTGCTTTTGATGGCGCCGTCGCCTCGGGAGTGGCGCAGCCATTACAATTCTCCATGTGAAACCTTTTCAGCACCTCCAGCACGTACTGTCGCTGACAGTAAATGATTTGTTGGCGCGGCCAATCTATCAGAATCTCAACCCCCAGGAGGCACTTGACCGTGCCCATCGTTGTTAGCTCGAACGTTTCTCGCAGCGCAGCTACGATCTCAGTGCACAGGTCGGGAGGCCCCATCAGTAGAAGGTCATCGACGTACACGGTCAGCAGCAGCTTGACCTCGTCACCATCCTTCAATACATACAGGCCGTAGTCTGAGTCTGATCTTTCAGATCCCACCGTCACCAACTTCGCGTGATGTGTGCGATTCCAAACATTCGGCGCCTGTTTCAGGCCGTACAAGCTCTTTAGTAATCTGCAAATGAAACTCGATCCGTCCACTTGGAAGACGGGAGGCTGCTCCATAAAGATAATCTCTTCCAAATCTCCATATAGAAAAGTCGTCTTCACATCGTATTGTAGTACTTCCCAACAGTTTTGTACAGCGTAGTAAATTGCCGTACCGATAGTTTTAAATCTGATCACGGGAGCGTAGGTCTCGTTGTAGTTGACTCCAAGATGCTACTTGAAGCCGTGAATCACCAGTCTAGCTTTGAATCTCTTGATCCGTCCTCGCTCATCACGCTTGAGAGCAAAACTTCAGCGACAAGAGATCACCTTCGTGTTCTTGGCCACTGTGCGCGGCACGAGCTTCCAGGTCTCGTGATCCTTCAGCGATTGGAGCAAGCATGGCAGATTTCCATTGTGGCCAGAACTTACTAGCACGAGCCTGTTTGTACGTCATCGGAATAGGCACATCCATAGTAGCCATCACGTTGCCAACCACGTAATCCGAGAGTCGAACGTTGCGTCGTTGAACTCGCCTCGGTCGCTTCGGGCAAGGTTCAACAGATGGAGGCAATACCTCGAAACCGCTTGGCTCTTTCTCCACCCCGACTTTCTTTCGCGCGCGGCGCTTCCGTCGTTTCTTCTTCGCCTTGGTCGTCTCGAGGGACGTCACCTCAGCGGTCACAGCAGCAGGTGCAGCAACACCTCGCTGCGAGTCCGAGCTCTCACCAGTCGAGAGTGAGTCACTTTGCAAATTCCCACTGGAGCACTGCGTTGTCTCCAGGTATACCTCGGCTTCAGGTCGTACTTCAAGTAATTGATTCGTATCAGGACTTGCTTCGTCCTGCTCTGGCACATTCGTCTCCATAGTCGTCTTGATGCGGGCCACAGGTACGGTTTCAGGTAGTTGATGGTCACCATCAAGGAATGCATTCTCCAATAACTGCCGTACATAAGTTCCATCAGCAGTAAACTCTTCGTGAAAGCGCACGTTCTGTCCACGCACAGTTACCACCTGACCAGTCTGCAAGTCGAGAAATTTGTAGCCAGGAGTACCAATAGTATAACCGAGTAACAAAGACAGCTTCTCCCTGGGTTCTAACTTCTCTTTGCGTTGTCGTGACTCTGGGGGGAACTCTCACATGAGCTATACAACCCCAGATTCTCATGTCATCAAGCATCGGTGCTGTACGAAACAACTTCTGAAGCGGAGTCACCAAACCCATCGGCTTGGTCGGCAACCAGTTCAGGGTTGTCACAGCATGAAGCAGTGCTTCTCCCCACAGGATGTGCGGCAGCCGCGTTGCTGCCAGCATTGCACGCACTCTTGGCAGTACAATTCCATTTGCTCTTTCCACAATCCCGTTCTCTTCAGGAGAATATGCGTTGGTGAGTAATGCCGTACTCCACGCAGTATTCACGCAACGCATTGCTAGCGAATTCACCACCTTGATCACTCCGTGGACGCATCACCTTGAGATCCGGTAGCTTCGTCCGCAGCTGGTTCAGTAACACCTTGGTATGGAATGTCGCTTCGCTTTTTTCTTGAGCAGAAACGCCCATTTATAACGAGTAGCTTCATCTATGACCAAGAGAAACATACTCGCACCACTCACGGTCGCAACGTCGAGCGTACAAATGTCCATCATCAGAGTCTCAAGTGGCTTCGATTTCCGTTCAGGAATTCGTGCATAAGTCATCCTTCTTGCCTTACTCGACGCACACGCAACACATTCGTAAGAGTCCAGTCCTTTTGCATTCAACTTAACTCCCACGTCGAGTTTCGTAGACAAAAAGCTTTCACCGTCTCCATGCTGACGTGGCCGAAGCGTTGGTGCAGCAGCTCCATCTGCTTCTTGCTGTCCATGTCCTGCTTGAGCGCAACCATCACCATGACACCAGGCACACGCTCAGCACGGAGCCGGTGGATGTGATCATGCATCTCGAATTTGAGTACTGTGTCCGGCTTGGACAACCAGGCTGTGCGTTGGTCATGCGAACACGACAACTGGTAACGTCCAGTCATCTGTAGGTAGCCGAGGCTAATGAGATTGACCTGGGCGTTCGGGGTGTACACCACGGCGTCCAGCAATCGGTCCTCCACTTGCCCAGTCACCTGATTAACAACACGAAGCAACACAGAACCACATATAGATGCGTGTTCAGTAGTGCCGTTTGCGAAGCCAAGGCGGCTCATCTTGTTCTCACTGATCGTAGTGAACAAGGCGAGGTCACCGCAAATGTTGACCTGTGAACCCGAGTCTAGGATCCACTCAACTTCATCAGTAGTGCTAGGTCGCATACTTGCATGTCGTCCAACTGCATTCACCTGCCAGGATCCGGTTCCTTGGTGATAATCAGGTCGATCGGGTGCGTATTCAGGGCCGTAGGGTCCGTCACGTGACCCTTGGAACTCACCACGTCGTCCTTGTTGTCCACCGTCTCTGTCACCGTCTCGGCGTGGCGACATGCTACGCCCTCGCGGAGGTCCATCACGCCACTGCTGCTGCGGCGGCGGTGGTCCATAGTGACTTGGTGATCCGTCACGCCACTGCGGTGGCGGAGGTCCAAAGTGTCTCAGTGGTGATGTCCCACGAGTCGGCGATCCCAGACGCCAGCCGTATGAACGTGACGGCGACGGGCTGCGTCTCAGTGGTCCACGCACCTGAGATCCAAAGCGTCCTCGAGGTGAAGAGCGATATCCCCAGCGTGGTGAATATCGACTGCGCCCGCGTGGCGGTGATCTGTTACACCAGTGCTGTGGTGAACGGCTCCGTCCTCGAAGTGGTGATCTTCCACGCCAACGTGGCGGAGATCGACTTCTTCCTCGTTGTGGTAGTTCAGTACATCCAGCGTTACGTGGCAGTGAGCGGTTACACCCTCTTTCACGTTAACCACCTTTCAGGAGTCGTGCTTGTAGCCAATCATCGTTTAGGCTGCGTGCCTCCTCGAGCGCAACACGCTCGAGGCACAAGCCTTGACGTAAAAAAAAATGTCACACGACCCCGTTTCAAAAAGAGAGCCTCTATTTCAAAGGGCAGTTGGTGCAGTGTGGCCAACTTTCTTGCAACGGTGGCAAGTCGCTTTTGACTGCCACTCGTTATCCAGCATGAGCGCACGTTTGCCAGCATCGTTGAACCGCATGGCTGGATAGTCTCGTCCAGTGTCGCCGGATTGTTCTCACGAACGTGATTTGCTGTCTCCGTCTTTAACCCTTGTTGGAAATAAATACGGAGTTCCAGCTGGCTGATGGACACCGTGCACTGGATGAGCAAATTTTGGAAATTCACCACGTAACCATGGAGTGACGAACCCTGACTAAGCGCACACAAGCGCTCATGGAGGCGATATTCCCTATCCGGTGGCAGGAAGCGGCGATGCATAGTTTCCTTGAAGATAGTCCAAGTCTTGGCTCGACCAGTGTGATCACATTCGACAGCGAACTGACGATACCAATTCATAGGCGTAACTCCCAGATGGGTAGACACCATGATGACAAACTGCGATGACTCATCGTTCATCATCGGATGATAATCAGCGTAGAATTGCTCGATGGCGAAAAACCATAGCTCGAGGTCTTCGTCGAGCTTGCTCTCGTAGGACGGTGGTTGATGCTTGCGGGCCAGGGTTGGCCGTGCGGTGAGCGCGTCGATGCGAGCTTGGCTAGCAGCCATCTGCTGCTGGCTCTGACCCTTGGCCTTGTTGCGTAACACGTCGTTGTCCATCGCACTGATCTCTTCCGTTACCTGCTCCAGGTCCTTGGTGTCCGTGTGTCTCCGAGTGAGAACCTTGATAGCTATCCCCTAGCGCAGATGAACCCACTCGTGGTTCACCTGTAGTGCGCCCTGGCTCAAGCATAGGTCCACCACCGGAAACACTCTTCAAGCCTTGACCAAGTTGAAACAGTATCTTGTCCCACGTGGGTGGCTGTCCAGACGGCTGGATGCCCTCCCACTGGCTCTGCATTACCTTCGTAATCAGCGTCTGCAAAGCTCTTTGAACATGAGTAGGAACTGTAGACTCACTGTCACTTGCAGTAGTCGTTAGGGAGTAAACAGAAGCTGGCGTTGCTTGCACAGTTCTCCAGTCGTCGTCAAGTCAATGGGTGCAGCAACTCTCGTTGATGCCGGCGCCGTGAGCGATAGCCCTGCGAAGAGCCCTTGCGGTGCAGCCGCACCGTTCGCCACTTGTACACAACGCACTGAGTTCACGAGAGACGTGGGCGGTTGGTTCTGCCCCTCTCTCTCTCTCTCTCTCTCTCTCTCTCTCTCTCTCTCTCTCTCTCTCTCTCTTCTTCTTCTTCTTCTTCTTCTTCTCCTCCAACGATGGCTTGAGCTGCTTGCCCGTAGTCTCCGTGCACTCCATCCACCAGTGTCCGTCTCCTCCACAGTTTCCACAGTTCATGCGAGCCTTCTTGTCAACAACGCCCTTACCAATCTTGCGCTGCTTACTACCACGCTTGCGACTCTTGTCCTTGCTCTGGGATGCACCGACATGTGCCACTTGAGCCGTGCGGGGCAGTAGCTGGCTTCGACTGCGACTCCAGTTGCTGTCTCTGGTGTTCCGCTGCGCGTAGACGCTGCAGAACTTCAGCTAGTCGTAGTGTCTTACGGTCGTGATCATTGAGCTAGTTGGCGTACTCTCTGGTCACGTCCGGGAAGACAAGCACAGAGTTTGAGAGCAGCTGACTCGCTTGTTGCCACTCCTCGAAGTCGCCCTTGGCCTGGCGCAACTTGGTCACCTTCAACTCGATGTCCTCGGCGTACTTAGTCACCGACTCGTTTGGTTGCATCAGCCTCATCATGAGGTCACGTAACAAGTAATCAGGGTTGATCCCGTCGCCCGCCTCAAAGTGTTTCGTAATGAAGCTCCACAAGATGGATGCCGCCTCCATCTCTTCTCGTATCTCGTCGACCTTGAACGTGGAGCGCAGATCCACAGACAAGGACAATGCTAAGGCCGAGAAGGCCTTGTTCTTTCTCGCTCTGTACCACTCCGTGTATTTGACCCTGCGTAGGCCAAAGTCCACGTCGTAGCGTTTGCCTCCGTAGGTGATGTCACCGAGTGTGCGTGGCTCAAAGTGAAGAGGCACTTCACTCTTCCACACCTTATAGTCTTCTTTTGTATGCAGCTTGGGCAACTGGATGGCCGGTGAGATCCTCAAAGCCTTGGTGTACTCCACCAGCTCCTTGTCGTCGTAGCGGCCACCCGGGAAGTTGTTGTCCAGGTGCAGGTTCTCGCGCGGGTACTCGCCGAGGTCGCTGGCGCTCGCGCTTCCACTGGAACTGCCGTCGCCACTTGGTTCGCTCGGTGGCGGCGGGGCAGAATTTCTGAGTGGTACTGAATCGTCGGTTTGTATTGGGTGAAGGCTCTGAAGACCTTCAAGCAACACGCGGATGAGCGGTCGTCCGCCACGAATTCCAGCCAATGAGCGTATGAGGTGCTCCGCTTCCTCATGCGATATTGTCGCATCACCCTTATTGGCTGTATTTTCAACCAATGTCTGCTGGACCTGGTCTTGACACGCGAGAACATGTCCTTGGTCTTGAGAACCAGCGCATTGCGCGCCAGACCCTTCTTCAATCGCCTGCAGTGCCCTAGTTGGGCTCATAACCTGAGGTGACGCAGGCCGCGTCGCCGAGTCACTCGTTGACTGTCCGCCACTTCGTAGCGTAGGTGCCATTAGGCGCAGTAGTGCAGAAGGGCAGTAGTGTAGAGTGACTTTGCAGGAAGATCGTAAAAACACGTAAGTGCCGGGCCAAATGCCGCGACAGGACTGCAGA